CCTGTCGAACACCCATATGTTATTATTGGACAATTAGCATCAATTCTCTACTTTTCTATTATCATTATCTTAATGCCACTCGCCAGCCTAATAGAAAACCATTTACTAAAATGAAGAGTCTATGTAGTATACTAATTATACTGGTCTTGTAAACCAGAGAAGGGGGGTCCGGAGCTGCCCGGGTCCGGTGCTTGGAGCCTGTGGGTTTGTAGGTAGCAGAGCAGGTGTCAGGAATACCCAGCATGAGCCCAAACCGCCATCCCTTCCCCAGGGGTTCTTCTCAGAGGCGCTAAATGTAGGCAAAGAAAGAGCTGGGGCAGTGCCTGGACGCGGCTGCCCACCTCGGGGTTCCCGGGGGCCTTCTCCAGGGAAGTGATCTCCGAACAGCCTTGGACAGTAAGAAGCTTGCTAGGCGGAGAAGACAATGGCAAGGGCATCTCCAAATGAAAAAGGTGGGAAAGGCGACGGCTGGGCACCCGAAGACCCTGGGCAATGGTCGGGGACCCAGCAGGGTCATGACAGGGAAAGGCAGTTCCGGAGGCGGCCCCGTTCGTGCCCGGGTCCGGCACGGGGATCCCAGCTGTGCCGTCACTGCCCCATCGCAAGATCGGCCGAGAGGGCGAAGTCCAGGACGCGTTGTCGAGTGGAGCTGGGCAGGAACCCTAATGACACCCGCCACCCCAGGCAGCGGTCAGGCCGCCCCTTCCCTCGGGGTGAGAGGGCCGTGCCGCCGACCCTCCGGAGGCAGGTCGGGCCGCGCCCCGCCCGCCCCACGCACCGTGAGCTCCGTAGCCGGAGTGATAAGCCATGGCCGCGACGCTCGCTCTCCCGGAGGGCCCGCTGCGCTGCCTCGTGGGCACGAATACTAATGAGGCAGCTGCTCCGCTCCCGGAGCCCCGACCGGAGTTACAGAGCAGCCCGACACGTCCCCGGGCTGTGCGACCGCAGCCGCCATGTCCGCAGCGTCATCGTGAGCCACCTGCCATTGGCCCTTCGGCGACGGCGGCCCGTCCCTCCGCTCTCCCAATTGGCTGCTGCCAATCCGTCGCCGAAGCGGATTCGGCAGCGGTCGACTTCCGGGAGGGGCGGAAAGCGGAGCAATTCGAGGTGCTCTCGGATTGGATAGTGGATTTGCTGGTTCGGCCGGAGCAGCCAATAGGCAAGTTGCTGTAGAAGGGTGTTGAGAGTTACTTCCGCGCTTGCGCAGTGGGTACTTGATGCTAGTCTTGCCACGACTACACCTGGCGGACACCCGGCGTAGACCGGCTGCGGCCGGGGTCCGGGGACGGAGTTCCACTCGCCGCACCTACTCCAGGAGGGAAGGGCGATGGGGCTCTGGCCAAGCCCCGCCCTCTGGCCTTTTGCCCCTCGCTCTCATACTCGCTTTCCTCCCCCGTCCCCTACACCCCCAGAGTCCTGGCGTGGAGCCCGGGCTGCCTGGGAGGTGTTGGTAGGAGGCCGGACCGGGCAGTGACAGCACAGCCCAGCGAGCCGGAGATGCTGACTCCTCCTCCAGCCTCCCACCCCTTTTTCTGCGCGGGTGCTGTCCGTCGTCGGGTGCTGAAATGGTCTACTGCCACTGACGCCATCCTGCAGACCCCGGCCGGCCGGGGCCCTGCTGCTGGAAGGCCCTGGGCTCTCGATCCACACCAACACCATTACACAGACTGAAAAACTGAGGTCCCGAGATTGGATGGTATAGTTGGGACAGGATCCTGACCAGGCCCGTTCTGTGGTACAGCCTGTTGGGGGATGGAGATGTGCTGCTGTTGAAACACCTGAGTCATTGCTGGCCCTGCGGTCATCTCTAAGTGAGACCCCCCCACCCCCAAGCCTCACTCGTGATCCCCGGGCCTCCTTCTCCCCACCCAGTTTCTGAGCACTCAGCCTCCCCCGAGACAGCCCTCAGGCACCACTTTCTAGAGAGCAAGATCGGGTCCTCCGTGACTTCCCTCCAGTTAGCTTCCCAGTGTCCAGTTACACCAGGTGACTTTCCGGCCCACGTGGTCCAATCTCAGTGCCTTTGCCCAAAAGTCCCCTCCACCTGGGATGCCCTTCTCCCTCATATCCACTTGTCCAAAGTCTAGCTCTCCTTTAAGGTCAGGTCTACTTGTGTCTCTCAGAGAGACAAAGGGAAGAGAGGCCTAACCTGGCTTGGGGTGGAGACTGAAGGTCAAGTTCTAGGTTCCCTTTGGCTGCACCAGTTTGCCCTGCACGTAACTTCCATGAGGACAGGGCTGGTGTCTTCTCCACTCCTGCCCTTGTCTTCACTGCGCCAAGCACAGTACTTGCATATAGAAGACACCCAATAAACATCGGTGTCAATAAATAAATAATGAATGGATAGAACCCAGGGTCAGTCCTTCCTTCTCTCTACCATTTCAGTGACCTCAACTTTAAACGGGCAGGGGTGTTGAACCGAATGGCCTTTGAATTGCCCTTTGCGGGGGGGGGGGGGGGGACTAAAAAAAAAAAACTGGCTGCCTTTAGCTCCCTATTTTCCACCCACCGACTGCCTAGCTTGGGGGCTTGGCCCAAACCCCGGGACAGGGGTGAAGGTCTGAGGACCAGGGAGCAGGGCTGGAGCGACAGGGACCTGGGAGGAGTCCTCCCCTGCGGCACAAGGGCCCACCCCTGAAACGGGGGGGGGAAGTTTGTGCTTTGATGGGATCTAGGGGCCTTCCCTTTGGATCGTTCCGGTGGGAAAATGAGGCTGCGGATGGAGAGCGCCCCCCCAAGGTCACAACCGAGGGGCCTGAATCAGCCTGCGCCGAGGGGAAAACCAGAGGCTCTTTTCCATCTCAATAGGGGCTAATTCTGTTTCGGGGTTGAACTGCCCCCCTCCTACAAACGAAGGTTCCCCCGGTGGGGCCGGGGTGGAATCACGGCCTGCGCCTTTCCCCCCTAGCAGGAAAAAACCCACCTTTCGCAAATTTCCTTTCCCCATATTACAACGGGGGGTTTAGGTGGGG